GTCGACATATCTTCAATAAAAAAAATGCAAATTCGCTTGTGGTTATCACCAGGTTGACTAGAGACAACGTCCCATGCCACCAGGTGGCAGTTGTTACAATGCCTACACCGCCAGGGGGCAGTCGCTACAACGTCATCTCGTACCCAACAAAACTGAGTTCACTATCAAAAACCGCCACTAAAACAACAGGAAACTGAAAAAATGAACAGATGCAACGACAGATATGAAACGTTAGGAATGTGACAAACATACGACTAAAATACGTTAGCATTAGAAAATTCAAACCCTGAAAGACTGACGTCCCCGACAAAAATAATCAAAATAAATCATAATAATCGCAAATATTCACAAACCTGCTCGTTATTATTAACGTAACTCAGGTATTATGTCAAACTCGTGCGATTACCTTGTTACCACGGCAACAATAAATCGACGGACGCTTGCAGATGTCATTATAAACGAGATGGCACCGCATAGAACTACTAGGCTACATGAAGGCCGGCGAAAACTACTATATTGCACGCTGGTGTGAAACTCACGTGCAATGAAGATGCGCGTAAAATAGTGTTATCATAAAAGAACTCATATGTCACATTGCTTGGCTGTCATGCAAGCTTATGTAACTGTGAAATACACCTCACTACATGCATGCAATCATACATGCCAGGTGCCCATCCTACGTGTGTGAAGGTGACCTTTCTTGCATATGTACACCTATTTGTAAAGCTATGATTAATTGCAATGTGCATAATACTCGTTCGGTTATATTGACTGCTTGTTGGCAACACGTGCTACCTACAGACAAGAGCCCATAATTATATACAGATCCCACCAAAACCCAGACTTCTGTTTGTTCTTCCTATTTAACAAAAGAAATGTTGAAGAAGAGAGGACTACAATGAGAAATCTAGTATCTTCCTAGGAGCAACTTGAGAGAGCGGCATCGTAAGTCAAGAAGAAGGGGATCAGAGAAGGCTAGAACCTACCAACGTTACTGGGGTAGCATAGGGCACGAGTAAGACATGAGTAAGAGGATAGCAGTGTTAGGATAGCATAGAAGGTAGCACAGCAGTAATAGGATAGCATAGAAGGTAGCACAGCAGTAATAGTGTAGCATAGAAGGTAGCACAGCAGTAATAGTGTAGCATAGAAGGTAGCACAGCAGTAATAGTGTAGCATAGAAGGTAGCACAGCAGTAATAGTGTAGCATAGAAGGTAGCACAGCAGTAATAGTGTAGCATAGAAGGTAGCACAGCAGTAATAGTGTAGCATAGAAGGTAGC